ATGTATGTATGTTATATATATATATATGCAAAATATAAAGTAAAATCTAACTAACTACGGCATGCAGCAGCAACCAATGACAACTAGAGCAAATGATGACATAAAAGCTAAAGAAGCAACAAAATTTGTATAGACGACCACTGTCGCTGAAAGCAAATGTATATGTAGAACAAATACTGAATACACGATAGAAATACTAAAATATTATTCTAGGTCTCTAGTAGGACAATAACTAAATGTAGAAGAAAAAAAAAATAAAATAACGTAAGTAGAAACAAAGCGTATGATATGCTTATACATAAGCCTTAATGTAGGTAACGTAGTAGTAAATAATAGGGATAGATAGAAAGACAATACAATGAAAACTTTAAAGGCAGAAATTCCCAGTCTTTTTACTCCATAGACTGCCAAACACAAAGAATATATGGCTTGGCTTAATGGCTCATTGACTGATGATTTCTAAATACGTACACATGTACACTTGTGATTGAACTTGAACTAATAATTTTTCATGCGTTTTCGATTTTGATTTATTTACTACGAACTGTTTAATCCCTATAATTAGTTTGTTTCGTTTACTATTCTCTACAACACTTGTGACGGAAGTGTGCCACACAGTTCTTATGCGAATGTATGCAGCACCCAGAAGGAATTGGGATGGATATGTCTTTTATTATAAATCGACTTAAGCTTCTCTCTCCGTCTGTCTGTCTGTCTTGTATTCTTATGTCCTACAGTTTGATAAATTTTGGTATACTGACTTGTTTTGAGCTAAGGATAAGCACTATCGAAAATACTTCAGATTGGATAACTTTTTCAAACACTTCCTACATAACACTTTATTTTGAAATGTCTTTATATTAATAGTTGTACGGTGTTGTAACGTATTTAATGGTGGATCACGGACCATTATCGTGTTTTTTCTACCTTTCCAAAATTCGAAACTCTGCAAACGTTTTTATATTAAACATTAGCTTTTACTTTACTACAAGAACTTATTTATAGAGCTCAACAATTGAAAGGCACCATAATAGCAGGGGATAAGTGGAGATCAGTATGATATAATAATATCTATTTTAAACTAGACTTGACTTGGAAGAAGAAGATAGAATTAGTTCACTGCATACTTAAACTATCTGCGCAATTTTAAATTTCCGAACGACAATAACAAGTTATTTAGACACCTTGCGTATTTAAATTATATCATTAATCCCTGAATATGCAGAATGGCAGGTCATTTTGCTGACTCTGATTGATAAGAAGAGAAAACAACGTGACGAGAACACTGTAAATCTAAGTGCCTGTGTAAGTGAATGAGCACTTTGAGGAAGATATTAATTTGTTTTCATTTTTCTCTCCATTTTATATAGAATAGAAAACGAGTGAACGGTATCATTGCATGACAGACAAGCATATATCGTAAAAGCATATGTATTGAACTGCACGCAAGTAGCGTAGAGAAAACAAATATTTAATGCAAAAAAAAAAAAAAAAAAAAAAAAACAACACCAACCTATTGCAATTCACAAGCTTACACACATACATATACAAACAAAAATGCATTTGTATAGATACAAATGAATGCACCCATATTACGGATAATACGTATTGTAAGTAAAAGCCTAAAAGCAGAAGTCAGTGCAGCAATAGCAATTATAAGATTGAAAAAGAAAATAAGAGAAAAACTTGCGCAATGCTTGGTTAGCTTAAGGCAAATTTAATCATATGTACAAAGAAACGCAGATTTTTTTTTTTTTTCCTTTCTTTTTGTACTAAATTAAAACCGAGGGGTGAACAATGCTACATAGGCGGATTATTCAGTGAAAAAAAAATTAAAAAAAAAAAAAGCTAAAGTCAACAATGCGTATATGTGTACATGTATGCACTTTCAATACTAAAATCCATGTAGAATTAATGATATACACATAACTGTTAATCTGCAATGTAGTAAGCGTGACATATATTGGCCAGTGAAATGTATCTTCCTCTTCAAAAACAACTATAAAACTGACAGTTACTGATAATAACAATAATAAAATAACAATTTGTTCTTACTCTGTTTGCGATTAAATAGTCATTAAGACTCTTCCAAGCATATGATTATTAATGTGCCCCTATTTTCAAGTTTCATAACTTAAGTGCAACTGTTTTTATGCCCAGTTATTCCATATTTCCTTACGAAAAATCTTTAATGATCATTTACATATATATATATATACAAATATGTCGTCCGCGCAGTGAACGATGGACTTTAACAATATCTCAAATAGAAATCTGTTTCTTTTAGAAATAAGAAGAGAAATTGAAAGTAAAGTGTAGAAAAAACTGTAAATAAAAAGTGCATTGTTACCCTACACCACCTGTGGTAAAAAAATATAGTAAATTGGAACGGATGCATGCAACGCGTAAGAAGGTTTGACACAGATACATCCTCCGTTTTACTCACCGATCCAGAAAGTTATTCTAAGCATGTCTGTCCGTCTTGTTATGCCTAAATCCGAACAATACCAACAGCTTGGTTGACACTTAACTCTGCCTGACCTCAAAGCTTTCAGAGGCGCAGCAAAATTCCGCTACATTTTTTCTTCAAAAGTCGGTTTTTATATATATATATATATATATAGAATATGACAACACATATCCTGCTTTACATAGAATTAAGAAGTCAACTTGTTCAGAAGCGACCTTGAGATTTCTGAGCTTGCAGCCCTTCAACTTTAAAAAAATGAACTGTGTCTGGGCTAAGCCAGCCATTTAGTAGTTAATAGAAGTACAAGCGGGAACAATAAGTCAGCATATCCCGGTTGAATCGTGAATGCAACAGACCGAGCTGTAGTTCCGTTTAGCGTGTGGCCGCAACTGTATTAAACGCTTATCTTTAAGAGCTAAATGCTTACGGATTGGATGAGATCACTCCCATCCCCTGTCTCTTCAATTCTTTGTGATCATGATCCTGTTGCACGCAAATGGGACATAGCCTGAATGATTCGTTGTGCAACACATCACTCAATAAGTTCCTAGGATGATATGTATGTAGACGTCGTCACCTATTGACTAATTTTTCTGTGGTCATTTTCGTTTTTGTAAAACAATTCATAAATCGTGTACGGCTTGAATTAACTTGCCTAACAGGAGTGATTAGGGAAAATAAACAGTCTACCCAATTGAAGAAAGTTTGTCTTCCTCCACCACAAAGCTACAATCATGACGACGTCGCTGCCATATATACCCGTTTTTATACGAGAAAGGATGGCTTACATATTAATAAGATGCTACTATATAAAGGGATTTTTCCATTCCAAATTTTGATACACTTTTGGGCGTAGATACTACAGCATCGCCCATAGAATATGCGTTCAAAGTTTTATACGTTTATTTGCTATAGTTTATGAGTAATGAGAAAAAAAACAATTTTTCATTTCTTGTGAAAAACAATTCACGTCGTGCTGTGGGCGTGCCCTTCCACCGATTTGGTCCATTTTCAATTCCAACCTGAGTGCAGGAACTTCCAATGTTTCTGCCAAATTTTATATCGATAGCTTTATATTTGCGAGCAGGAGAATGTTTACAACAAACATTACGCAGCCGGACGGACGGACGTGCTTAAATCGATTTAAAATTTGATGCTGATCAAGAATACATATACTTTGTGTGGTCTCTGATACTTTCTTATGAGGGTTGCAAGCATTTTGACAAAATGAATATATCCCTCATCCTTGGGTGATGGATCTAATAACTGAGAACTTTCAATTTCAAGTCAAGCTATTACGTTATGGACATTTTAATTGATCGAATAACCCAATTTTCTTCTTGTTGTGCTTCTTTCTGATGAAAATATATAAAAATTTTTGAATTTTAGCAGCTCTGGCAAGTAAGCTCATTAGATTGTAGGCTCAATTTTTGCAACAATGGACAGTGTGTAAGGATATATTTTAAAAATCTGAAAATGTTACATTGACCAGACATATGTATGGAAAAGGTTTTCGCATATTTTTGAAAATTATGTTACCAGTATTAACATCCCGGATTAAAATCCTAATAAGAGATTCTATCGTTATTGTCGAATAAAATGCATTTATCAAATCAGTGTGACATCATATTTGCGTTCATCTTAAGAGACTTTCAGCTTAGATTAGATTATTAATTAATAATAATAATTATTAATGCCTTACAATACAACAACAAACAATAAAAGCTATTACTCGAATATGTCTATAGAGTCCGAAGAATTTCGAAAAGAAAATTGAGAACAAGCAAATTTTTTTGTTTATATAGTAGAGATTTGCTATAAGGCAAGTGAATGAAAAATTGACAATTACATAAACCTTCGATATATACATTTGTGAAATTAACTAAAACTGACAACTATTACATATTAAACAGCAACATGACAATCTATATGGAAAATATTTTTATAATAAGTGAGTAAAGTAATTGAAAATTTTATTCTCTTTACAAGCTCTCATAGAATACTAATGATGGCTGTAATGACAAATGACAAATACATTCACTAAGGTTACTTTTTAGGTGTTTTCTTTTCATTATTTGTATTTGTCGAATCAAGACGATTAACTAAGAAAGTATATAAAAAGATTTAAAAAAATTAACAATTACAAATTTATTCACAAATTAGTAACATTTAAGAAATTCGTAATACAAACTCGCTAGAGCGGAAATATTGTGTTGATTTAACTCAATATGCAAACATACAAACACGTATTTATACTTGTCTAAAGGCGACATCATGTTGATGACGTTTAACATTGAATTCTTGTCTTACAATTTTGTTTAGTTTTTGATAAAATAAAGCAAATATTTTCTGTGGTTTTGTGGGATTAGAGAAACGAGGAGTGGCACATATTTGAAGAGAAATTACAAACTTTTTATTTATTTATTCTTGTTTTTTTTTTTTTTTAAGCTAACTAAGGACAACGCCTTTTTGGTGACATAAAATGTATTTTAAAAATCTCCCCAAGGTAAATGTATTTTTTATTCATTACCTTCTTTTTTGTCTCGAGTTAGGTTATCGAGGGTGGCGTTTGGTTGAATGTTGAACTATATCGGCTTTTTATGTAAAATTCCCTGGGGCCTTGCGAAGAGTTCAACATCCGTTTTCACTTAGGAAGTTGTCGGTAAAAGCAACCAATTGAAGACAGCATTCATTCACTTTTTTTATGCACTCTTAAGTAACGGCGCAAAACATATTTTTTCTTTAATAATTTTCCACTTTCTTTTCCACCGAATGAACTACATGAATTGCATTTGAAAGCTACAAAATAAATTATGTTTTTCTACACACTTTTTACAGGTGCTGCAGGAAATTAATTTTCTCGTTTTTTTACTTCGTCTTAACAATTTTAATCTTTCTCTCGTTTCTTATTTATGTTTTGTTTATTTTCTATTCTTCATCCTTTTCTTCTCCATCGTATTTCTTAACTTGACTTTTTTAATAATGCAAAAACTTATTATGACTGCGATTATTCACACACTGTGCGTTAATAAAATTTTTATTCACTTAACTTATACTCCTCCCATGGCACCACTGCAAATACAACACAACAACACCAAGAACAAAAATAATAGAGTGGAAGTGAAGTGTTAAAAAACAAAAAAAAAAAAGAAAACTTTGCACGTACTATTTTATTATTTGTTGGTTGTGGTTTGTTCACATTCCTTTTTTTGCTTTATTTCGTCTTCTTCGCTGTCTACTTCCATGCATCGACATCATCGATTTGATCTCATCTTGTGTTAGCCCCCCGCCTCCGCGGTGGTGTTTAGAAATTCTTCACGTTTTTTCACATCACTATCCAAGGATCTTATTTACTTAATATTATAGAGTGTATGAAACGATTTTACTCTTTTTTAATTAATAGATTAAATGATTTATTAAGCGTTTGATAGACCAACAACTATTGCTCTTTTATGTTCTCATCTAAATTTAATTAAAACAGTAAAATAATACTGCGTAGCCGATGTTGATTTCAAGACTTGAATTTTTCGTTTGTTAAGAAAAAGGCGTGTTAAAAATGTTGCCATATTATTGTTAGTAAAACGTCAACAGGGATGCATTAGTTGGCATTTTTGTAAAGTTATATTAGAAAAATAACGTGAAACAATATGAAAACAAAACGTACATGCGAAAATGCACTTAAATTTAAATTATAAACTTCAACGACTATTTTAATGTTCGGGAAGTGTGTACTTAGGATGAAATTAAACATTTTTGCGATAGATGCCTAATCAAGCTTTAAATAGTGAGCAAACCTCTTTTTATACCCATCTCTTAAGGAATATAAAGGTATATTCGTTTATGGCTTCAAATTTTCAAAAAGCTTTGCTTATTGTTGAACGCAGATTAGCATTAAAAACGGTCCAAATCCGTCAAAAGACAGTCATAGTACGACATAACTTAGTCTGAGAACATCTACGTTTTCAAATATAGAAATAATTTGGGTTTTTGGTCTACATTTATAAACCACTCCATATGTAACATCAAAAATGTGACAATACAGATATGATGTTTAAATAAATAAAAATAAACTGCACAAACTTAGAAAATTCATTAAAATAATTTAAGCCTCAACCACAATTAGTTGACTTCTACATGAAAGCTGTAGTTCATTCATATAAAGAAGTTACGCGGTTGCTCAATCTGACAAGGTATTTTGAGAAAATGTGGAAATTCCAGGTCGTCATAAATACTTTAGTTGCTAACGAGCCACGGGGCATTAATAATAAGGCCAAGAGTCTTTTATAAAATTTACTGATTGTTCCCTAAAATTATGTGCCATAAATCCATCTTAAAAGCCATCAGGTCATCAAATTAAATACTGTAGATTATTATGCTAAAAATATTCCCTTTAAATGATCATTTATCACGTATTTAAAACATCTTCAAACCGATATAAATAAATATATATATAAATTTGAGAAAATCAAACGTTTATTTTTTTGATGTAGGTTGCTCGTTCTTCTTCCTTTTTGGTATAGGTTGCTTGTGGTTCTTCCTTTTTAGTATAGGTTGTTTGCAGCTGTTGCTGTGCATACATATCCCTTAACATTATAATCCTGATTATCAATTATGATCCATTTCGCCAAAGAAAAATCAAACAGACGAACTTTTTGCAGGTGGCGAGCCTTGAGTTCTTTTTTTTTTTTTTTTGCAAAAAAAATACGCCCTTGATTGATTGACTGATTAACATAAACATAATCCATGTGCATCCAATTAGAATGAGAGCACTATTTTGGCATATATTTCTTCGATTAAGTTGAGCTTCTGCATGAAGTGACCAATAGAGAATTCTACTTTTTTAAACCAATTTTTTCCATGTTAATCCTTGGTCACGATGTTAGCAAAGATAGTTTATGCACTTGTTAATAGAAATATTATAGCCATCTAAAGATAATGAAGTATAAAAACCTTTATTTCATGTAAATTTCAACTTTAATTTTTACCTTATTCATTCAACCAAAGCAAAACTTCGTTAAAATGAGTCTACAGTTAACAGGAAAATACGATCGGATCATTTGATGAAAGTAAGATTGCTGTATTATCTGCATTCAAACGCTGAGAAAATTCCCTTTTTTGTTGAATAAAAACATTTGCAACTCTGTTTTATTATTGTGAACGATTTTTGTTTCTTGAGATTAGGGGCAATCGACGTATGTTATAGAGCAAGTTTTCTGTAGAATTTCGGCAATTTATTATTAAACTTATATTTTACAGTTAATTTTACCAGAAGTAAAAAAGTAAAATGGCTGGCGTCGCAAGCAAAGGATCCTCTATGGTTAACAGTAAGTACTAGTTTCATATGATAATTTCAAAAGTGTGGTTTTTGCGAATTTGACTTAAAAATACATTATGTAATATCGCTTATCGTTTTCGGTTTTATAAAGACCTCTTGGCTCAGCTTAGGCCACAAATGGATGTGTTCTGGAAATACGCCAAAGTAGAACTGACCCCACCATCACCTGGTGATATTGGTGCTATTCGTAATGGCATTAGTAAGCTAATCAAAGGTGCTCAAAGTGGTTCGTACAAGAATCTAACTGTTCGCGAAGCCTGGCTGAACACTTTAGTTACTATGGAGGTGTGCTTCTGGTTTTATATTGGAGAATGCATCGGCAAACGCCACCTTGTAGGCTATAAAGTTTAAATATTAATCATATTTTATAGATTATACTATACTGTTTTAATATCAAATCGTCATCAGAATAGTCTTAAATAAATCCAAAACACTTAACGATTGTTCTTAAATAAGTTGGAATAAAGAACGGGTCGAAAATCCGTATTCAATTTGTAACGTTACTCATTTTAATCAATTACAGAAACGATAATGCAAATTATTCCAATAAAATAAATAAGTGAATTACTTCTATAGCAATTCCAAAAAATTGTACTTTTACTTTTATTAATGTAAGAATCCATTTTAGTGTTATAAAAGAAGTCAATTTAAATCCATATTTCAAAGGGACATTTAAAATGAATTTTAAAATAATATTGTTAAACAATACGATGCTTAAAAAAAGGAAGAAAATTATGAGTAAGATATATAGCTCCTTGAAACAATTGAAATATTACTTCAAAAATGTTGTAAAGCAAGAATTGCATTGTATTGTTCGAGTTATAAAACTAAGAAAAATTGAATTAGAAGACAGAAGTTTCTCGAAGCTTACGTCTAGAAAAAGAAAAAAAAAATGGAATATTTTACTTCTACAAATAATAAAGTTTTTTCTCCAAAGCATTCTGTGGAGGTTGATATAGTGCCGTGCCAACCAAGGACGCCAATTTCTTGGCATACTGGCAAACGGCAGGTACACGTGTTGTACCTGACCAATTGTAGTACAAGTGGCACATCTTATACGTTAACAATTGCATTTGATCGGGTGTTAAACGTATAGTACTATGTACCACGTTATAACTGGTTGGGGACACTGTTCCCTGGCGTACGGATTGTGACACTAGAAAGAAATCATAACGCTCGGGCAGAGTAACTACATCATCAACGACAGTACCGGGCGGAGGATTACGTTCACCATAGAAAAAGCGCGTATTTATTGATTTCGTTACCACTACGTAAGCAAACATCGGAGGCTTTTCAGCATTGCACCGTTTGTACTCGGCCTCTAACTTCTCAACTACATCTCGAACTTCGTGCTCGTACACTTGCTTAAGCGAGCCTTCACCTATGCCATCGCGATAGAACAATATTCGATTTGGCAACTTTTCGTGTTCTTTACGATATTGGCGTAAAGCCTTTGTCATCATAGGCCACAAATTGCTGGCCAAAGCATCCCCAGGGCTGCATTCAGCTACAGTGCTATAAAATGTCGCGTTCTGTTTCATATCCATGCTGGCTACTAAAGCACAGAAAGCTTTCGACTTATCTTTTGGGCATTTAGATATATCATAGCCGATGGTCATTAACCCACTAAGCGGCAGATCGATCATCCATGGTGTGTAACCCAGCTTGCAATTGATTTGTATAGCGACCTTAGTAGCAATACTCATAATTCCTCGTTGGTTACTAGCTGATTTCTGTGTGATGATTTGCGTGGGGACAGCTCTCTCTAGATAGCTCTTCTTCTTAATAGATGCATATCTATTTAAAATAAAAAACGATAGGGTAATCAATAAAATAACTTTTCTGTTAACTTTAATACCTTTCTGCGTTATTGTTTGGCACCAAGCATAACACCAGTTGAGGATCGCGACGACAACATTCTTCCATAGCCTGTATGTATGTATGATTACGATCGTCAGGAATCATTAATCTTTAGAAACACAAAAATCCACCACATGCATCGATATAAATTAAAAGAAAAAATTGTAATTCCAAGCACTTACTCTTCGGGGCGACCAATTTCCATACCCATGCCTCGACCCGCTCTCATTAAAGATTCTACAAAATTACGTGATTCGCGAGCGTAACGTGTTGGAGAAATGACACACCATCGTTCCAAACCGCGGGTAGGGGTAGTGAACAAACCATTATCACGGAATAACCGGGTCCAATCAGCATTGTCACCAGCCGATAATCTAAGTAAATAATATTACATAAAAATTTTCGCACGTTCTCCTATCGTCCTTACTTGTTATGATCTTTGAACACAATTCGCTGGGGGTCTAAGATACGGCCCGATAACTCTACGAGCTTTGTATCCAACGTCATGTTCCAGTCTTTAAGTATACGAACGCTACCTTCGGTTTGTTGTAAGCGACGATTAAAAGTTCGTAAACGATCCATGCGTCCACGGGGCTCTAAGCGAGTATGATCAGCCATAGCCCGCATTAATCTAACGTAGTCATCAATTACAATTTTAAGTTGAAAAAAACTTGTTTTGCGCATACTTACTGCATATTAGAACGCATAGTGTCAGTCAAACCCGTTGGGCGACATAGCTCCGGTATCAAAATAATAATTTCATTTTCACCTCCTCTTATTGAACGTAGTTTAGCTTTCGATATCAACAAAGGCTGATTTGCATCACGTATCCGAATATTATATTTCTGGAAAATGAAAATATTGCGAATAAAATATTGGCTCCATAGATTTGTATCCTTTTCAAACGTGCCTTATAATAATAGTCTATGAAAGAGACTTCTTGATTTTTAAAGCTGAATGTTTCCTTCGGCGTTTTGGCAAAGTCTATATCATTCACTGAATACGTCTTGTTGTTATAGTCTGTAAGGACAATCATACCAATTACGTGGCGCCGAAAGTCTTCTTGATAATCGCGTGTTGTTTCAAGGCAGCGTTGCAGTATGTCGTATAAGGTTTCGGTACGCATAACTTTATGAGCGATTTCGACACACAGTAATATGTCACGTTCGTGTTGTCGCACCGAGGTTTGATAACCAGGCCACAATTGCATGCGATGTTCTCGTATGTCAATCTGCAAAATCCAAAGTCATTAACCAAAAGCAAATACGATGTTGCTTTTACCTTGCCTTAGCTTGAGGATCATAATAGTTGCGCTGTATAGGCTGGAGCTTTAATCCTTCCATTGCTCTTCGAACTATTAGATTAAGGACTTGAAGAGATTCCCATTGATCCATACCAAGTACTCCTACATGTTTCAACGTTAAAACGAACTTTTCATTATTCTTGGACGTTGTATGCAAAATTGTTTGTTCTAAGCTTAATTTGTTCGTACAGAATAACTTCATGCCATCATATAAGTAGCCTCCCAGAATTCCGCGATGCTCGTACAGCAGACCCCCTCGAAGGCGTTTCAGCTCCACTTCAGGCGCGAAAGTAACGTGGTACTGATGTATCTTCCATGTCGGAGTTGTTAATAGGCGATAATAATTCGCCAGTAAACGGATTTCTCTTCCGCCAGTCCCTCTCTTGCTTACGATATCTGCGGGCTTCGTATGTACAATTTCGTACGATACACGTTCCCTCTTTTTTCTGCCGCCAGCTCCACCACCATCCCCAGCACCAGGATGCCGTTTTGCGCTATCTTTTGAAGTCGTGGGCTTCTCGTAAGGTGACTCAAATTCCCGCCTGAACACTTTTGCGCGCTAAAATTATGATGGAGAATTGCCAGTTAAAAAGAATCGGTTAAAATTATTTTCTCAAAGGCAACATGTACCCTATTTTATACAAAGTATACAGAATAGAGGATAGCGATTAACCCACTTAGTCATGCGCATGACTATGCATTTCTTTATCTCTTCAAATCTAATTTTTACCGTAAGTCCAGACCAGAAGATTGACAAATTAAATGTTTGCATCTCGTAAAGGAACCTTGAGGACCTTTGTTTAAAATACCAATTTTCGTTTTATATTTTATTCATTTGATCACCGTCGCGTTTGAATATTAGTCAACTTCGCTCAGTAGTTCGCTCATTGGAAAGCATAACATATTACTAAGTATTCGAAGTAAGGTCTTACTTGCCATAAATACTTGAAGGGCTGCTGTTGCATTGTATTGTACCTTCTGATGTACAAAAAGAGTGACGATGACGAAACTATGTAATGGAACTAATATGAACCGATTTCCAATGTAGAAATTTAAAAAGTCATATGGATTCTAAAATGCCGTTTTCAATGAAATTATAGCATTCGAAATTTCTCGAAAGACTTTGGTAGGTACATATACCTTAAAAACCCCAGAAGTACACTTTAAAGAAAAAAATTGAAGCTATTTTTCTCCGCCTTAATATTTTACATATTCGGGTGGAATTTTAAACACTTTGGTTTGGCAATTCCAGATCTCGAGAATGCTTTAATGCATAACCTCAAATTAATTTTATTTTTGCGTGCACCACTCATATATTTTGTTACACAAATGTAACCGCAATTCTAAACGCGGTTATTCTTAAAAATGTATCAGAAATATTTCCAAATTACATACATTTATGCATTGGCATCAATTCATGATAACGATTAAATTTCCAAAATCTGCCTACCCTTACCACTGATTATATCGTGTTAATTAAAAGAATTTGCTGACATAGCGCAATGTAACACAAACGCAACATTATGCTGAGTTACACTTTTCAAAGAGCGGGTCGCAATGTACTTGTGTATGTATTCTAAAAGATTTAAAAATTTTCTTTTACTAATTTCTTTTTTTAAACATACCGGCTCTTCAGTTATAGATGGTTCGCGGGGGCGCCGCGATGTGCTGGGTGCTTGATGATATTCACGCGATGGACGCCGCCGTCCGCGGGATTGTTCTTCAGACATATTTCAGAACGTAAAGAAGCTTGAGGTAGATTTAAACTAGTACTGTCTATGTATTAAGAAAGTTTAAAGGAAAATGCATTAATTGTTTTGCAAATTACAATCAACCAAACAGACGCAATCTTACGATGCCGCACTTTGTTTCAACTTACTTTTGCTTCACTCTTAATGCTGTAAAAAGTAAAATGTTTTCTAAAAGACTATGATATTATTCTGAAAATAATTTATAAAATATCCGTTAGAAACAAATTTATTTAAAACAATCCCAGCATTTATTTAAAAATAAATTATTGAAAATAAATTACTAAAAATGGCCGCAGTTAGTACCTTCTTATGGCGTACTTCGACTGCTAGTGATGCCAATAACAGTAATTTGTCAGCAAGTAAACAATCATAGTAGGATTTTTAGGATTAACCTGCTACGTTTAACGCAACCAGAAACTACTGTATAACGCTGTTACGAAATATATGTTACAAAGTAAAAATGTAAAGAACAAATTTTGCTGATTTGGATAAATGTTCAAAGACATAGTAGTAGTATTTTGTGCTCCACGAATATCTACATAATTACATCTATTTTAAAAAATTGTCATTTAGATATTACACAGAACAGAATAGAATTTCTAGTTACAAGTTCAGAAATGAGCACGGCTCCTCTCATGAACGATGAAAGTGGATGATGGAAGGATAATTAGTTTGTGACTTACTCTTCGTTAAATTGTAGTTCAAAGTCATCTCTGCAACATTAAACTTCCATTTTTTTCCCAAAAAATCTCATGTGAATGCAAAAAACATTGATAGCGTTTCTTGATCTTGGATTAAGTTTATATATGTAATGTAGCTGTGTTCTTCCTTCATAAATTTTTGGGAGCGATATATACCGTTTCGGATGAATGAGAACTTATTAATAAAATAGAATGCTAGGTTTAGCTCGCAGTCAAATAATTTTTTTTCAGATAGGAAATGTATTTATTTAAAGGCAATAGAATAAAACCGAGAAGCGATGATTAAAACCCAAATATTTGGGTTTAATTTTAATAGAAAAATTTGGCAACAATGGTATAATCGAAAAATATTAGGCTGCTTTTTGTGGGAGCAATTTAGAAATTCATTCATATCATCTAAATTATTTCACGAAATGTAGCATGGGAAGTGAAGGCAAACTGCGCAAATTTCAGACAAAGTTTAGTAAAATCGACACCAGAATAATAATAAACGATAGCAATTGAAATAATATAATATGGAAATTGATGCATATAATGATTTTCAGAGAGATTTGCAGGAATTAAATTCATTCCAGCATTTTATGAATTTCAAACGGATTGCACAGATTGCTGCTCGTCCAATTCCTTCATATTCAGTGAGAAAATTTAAGGGTGGTGGTCGACGTTTCAATCCTTTACAAGACCTGGGAGAAAATGAATTTCGTCACAGTTATAGGTATAGCAAAGAAAATATGCGCCGTCTTATAGAAATGGTTCGAGATGATTTGGAAGTGGAGACGCATAGTGAGTTAAGAAAGAATCAAGTGCCGGTAGATAAACAAATAATGGTAGCCGTACGTTATTGGGGAATGACTGAGGTGAATGAATGTACCTAATTATTAAACTGAAACATATTAAAAACATTGTTACTTACCACTCAGCATCCGGATGTAACAGCACGTTTGCACGGTGTTAGCTTACGTACTTTGATGAAGATAAGTAAACGTGTAGCGGAAGCTTTGGCTGCTAAAACATCTCGTTATATTCGTATGCCTTGCTTGCTGGCCGAAAAAGAAAAAGTTACTCAGGCTTTTTATCGCTTAGCTCATATGCCCCAAGTTATAGGCGCTGTGGCACATTCCCGCGTAAAATGTAAACGTTTACAACATCAAGACGGCGATTGTAAAGAGGATGATACCATGCATATACAAATTGTATCGGATGCTAGTTTGAAAATTCGCGATATTGATTGTCGCCTGGTGACATTGCAAGATTCTTTCACAGCTGCCGATTTATTTTCTCAAACGCGGATTAAAGAACGTTTCGAGCAAAACGAATTTCGTGGCCGTATTTTACTGGGAGATTCTACGTTGCATTGCACTTCATTTTTATACACTCCAGTGTCGTGTGCTATTTCCGGACCAGAACAATCTTTCAATCATTCTCTACGCTTAACTTACGAACCAGTACGGCAATGCTTTAAATTGTGGAAGGAACGTTTCGGCATTTTGTCATGTGAATTGCGAGGATCAGTCGCGACCGCTCGTCATATTATAGTAGGATCGGCATTGTTACATAATATGGCTATTGAATGGAATGACCCTACTTTTGGTACGACATCAAATCGATTAACAGCTTATGGAAATTTCACAATTGTAATTTCTTTTGCAGCCGAATTTCAAAATTCTTTACTAGGCTTAGACAAATCCGTTGTCGAAGACTTACAGAAAACTACTGATGTTCGTAGTCGCACTGAATTCATTAAAAATCACTTTTTTGTTCCCGTTAACTAAGGAGGAACACGTCGAATACAAACAATTTTAAAACAACTTTTATTTATTTTATATTTAGAAACAGTTGAACTCGCTTGAAAATACTTACGTAAATCTAAAAAGAAGGCATAATAATTTAAAATAAAAAAGTGTGAAATCATGTTAGCAAAGGCAAAGTTATTTAAAAATCTGATCGTCGATGAAACCGCATAATTAAGAAGAGGATGTTCTATCAAAAGGTAATAGAATTGGCAGTGACAATGTGGACTGTTAGTGCGAAATAGCTTCCACTGCAAATCAAGTTTGCAAATTAGAAAACCGGCTTTGCTTCGCTAAAGAATTTTGGATATGATGATAGGGAATTTTTCATTTTTTTATCAGTTCTTTCATTTTCTAGATGGAGCGTACCATACCAAAATACCTATAAGTATGTATAAAAATAGAAATTTGTGCAAGAAACAAAGAGTATACCCTGCTAACTCGAAAATCCGTAAGCAAAGAATTGGTGTAATTCTGTTGCGATCGTTGAAGAAAAAATATGTATTGTTTTACAATTTTCGTTAGGGCAATTTGTGTACTAACTTCTTTGACAGCGCTGTAATAAAATGACAGTTTTTTTTTTTTTTTTTTGCTATGCGATTAGGATGTAAATAATCTTCAAAAGATACTGCTGATTCTTCGTAGCAGCAAATACGACTTCTACGTACCAAAAACTACCCCCCCACACAATTCGTCTACCATTCTCCCCCGCGGGACTACCTTTAGGTATTACTTCGCGGAGGCTGGTTGCCTTTAGCACGCTTCCAATGGGGCCGCAGTGGAATACACTATTGGTTTCCACTCCCTCTGCTCTCCACCCGTTGTCTCCACGGTCGTCGTAACTCCACGAGGGTATTGCTAGCAAACGCGTCTATGGCGTTCCATTCTGCTGCAATGCCGATCATTACGTTCGTGATCTTGTTAAGTGGCACTTGAGGCCGCCCGTTCTCAAAATGGCGGTGTATGTATCTTCAGATGTTCACATTCGTAACAACCAAGAATATTTGCTATGTTTATGAAGATCAATGTCAATGTCGTGGTCAGTAATTGTCAACGTCGGTTAAGAGTGTTTGATGCTGGTGATTATGATTGGCTTCGAAGTTGACCCAAAATTAAGTATTCAAGGATTATCGAGAAGTCTTGAGCCCACACCGTTAACTGTATAAAGGCATCTGCATGAAGTTGGGAAGGCAAATAGCTAAGAGTGGAATATTTGTCAATCATCGTTAACTTTTTAGAAGAATCGTTACGGGAGGCGAAAAAATGGATTGTCTGTATTATTAAAAAGCGTTTCAAGCAATGGCTTTCTGTTCCACCTACTGAGGCCTATGATCGCCTAATCTGAATCCGGATAAGATGGGTGCTTCTAAAGCCTGATCATAAACGCTAAAGGTCTACCGTTCACGTGTTACCAAACCCTTCTGCTGACTCGTGCACGGATCGATTAGTAACTTTTGGGAAAATGCGAGGACGTACTATTAGTTTATTAATTATTACCAGAATATTTGGCCATACAAATAACGAGAGTGAAAGAGCATGCAACCAAATGCCTGTTACTTAGCACATTGTAAATAATAGAAACACTCAAATTTTCCTCACATTTTAATGGTTTGTATTTTGAATGAAATGTTGGGACATCTTGTCATTTAGTGTGTCAATTCAAATTTTACGGCACACGTTTTACTAAACAATTTATATAGATTCGCGAATTGAAAAATTTCTGCTGAAATGACAAAAAGTTTGCAAATCATATAAAACGTATCGAGCGGAATATTTGTGTTGGAAATACAAGGTGGCTTTGTGCTTTCCTACAACGTTTCTTTTGGTCTCTCAAACATCTACCAGCAATTTACTTTTAATATATTGCAGCTTTTACTTATAACCTACGCATTTGTAATTGCAAGAAAATCTTTAACAAAAGCCAAGAACATTGCAAGTTAAAAGTTTTGTTCCACATTTCGAATCAAATTCGTGTGTATTGAATGCCGTTTTCCTTTTCCTTCATTTTATTGTTTCTTTCCGTGTAGCTGTTTTGGCTGGTAGCAGACGTTGATCGCGTTAGGTGCAATGTGAAATTTTTGTATTGGGTTCACCTCATAAATACTGCGGTTTCTCCAAGTAAAATTTGGAATTGATATCACCAATCCCCTTTTCCTCCCTTTTACTGGGCTTTTAATTCAACACAGATTGAGTTTAATTACAAGTTATGTTTTATGAGAATAATATGTGGATCTTGGTGGATTAGGGTCCAGTTTACGGTCTTTGCTTCAGGTGAGTCGAAAAAACTTTGTCTTCTTCACATTAGACATTTTTATGCACGTTATAATCAAATTTATCATATTCTGGTAGGAATCGGTAGTAAATGATATTCTGATTATCTCATTATTTTTCCAGGAAACCAAGTATAACCATAAAAAGAAAAAAACAATTAAACGATGGTTTAACTTGCAGTACTTTTATGATCGTGTCAATGTGATACTATAAGTATCGAATAGTATTCCACTTTCCGTGGAAGAATTCACCAAAATTGTTAGCGGCGTCAGATATGCTCTCTAAAACTTGAATGGAAAGGAAAATATATTTTAATCAGGAAAAATAAGAAATACAAACGATCGCATAACCAATGGGATGACCCAATACGTATGCGCATATATATAGGCAAGCTGTTGATTTAACTCTGAATTGATGCAAACGTTTTTACAAGGTGTACGCTATTTCTCAAACTGTTGCGTTATGCTTAGTTGTAGACTGATGATCGTTCTTCCATTTGAATACCCCGAATGATGATAGATGCAGATCATTATGATGATGACGAAGATATTGTTGTTGTTGCTGCTGCTATTAATGATACTGTATTTTAACGCTTGTTGCATTTTACTGACACAAAAATAATGACCGTAATATTTTTAACATTTTCCATATGAATCTTAATCTCATTAGCCCGACATGTATGAAAGTAGTTAATTAGTTTAATTGTAACTTGCGAAACCCAATAGTCGCGAAGCTTTGCGAATTAGTAATGAAGCAATATTTTTCTACTCCAGTGCAATCCGGATAATGGGAGTTGTAAACAAGTTGATTGTCAATTTTTAATTTCTCTTAGCACAAGTAGGATAAGTAATAATTATAGAAATTTAAGACCCCAATCTTCGCAGGTTTTTATCGCAGCTGGCGTCAGAGCATTACAAGTTTCCGGGACACGCACTTTTTTAATGCGCTTGAAGACTTTTTTCCCTTTAATTGCTGGCGAAAATAATCTTTTGGCACATGACTAAGGCCGCCTGGTGATAAGTACAGTGACATGACTTTCATTAGGCTTGTGGCAATCTCGAATTATTTCATATATAATATTTTGATACATTTATGCGGAAGGGAAGCAAGCAAGCTTGGGATATAAAATTTAAAAGGAGAATAAGGTCTTGAGATATGCGGATTATACGTCCAGGTTGTGGATGATTTATATATATAACTGTGGTGGTTATGTACACTAAGACATAAATGTACCACTAAGAGTTTACGCCAGGAGCTCGTAGAGAGTTGCAAATTTTGCCTGATTCCGATGGAAGCAACAAATAATAGTAAAAATAAATATTCAAAGCGATAATGAAGTAGAAATCTTTAATTAAAATACTTAAGATTTTAGCTGATTAAGGTGATATAGTTACTTAAGATTTTAGCTGATTAAGATGATATAGTTACTACCTTGGTGTGAATGAAGTTAATTCCTTGAGATAAACACCATCGTAACAAGTGAACGGTTTTTCTGCTCTTTAAAAACGTCAACCGATCTTCTGATATTTTCAAATTTTCGACAATTAAAGATTAGATGTTTAGTAGATTTTTGGGCATTGCACATCTTACAATCACATGTGGATTTCGTAGTACGCATGAATATTTTTGCGCCTGTAAAGCGTTTTAATCTCGCAAGATTTGTAGACGAACTCTAAGAGTGGTTTAAGGGCGACGGTTGAATGGATTTACCATAAAAAATTTATATGTCCCACAATTCTGGATTAAATTTCATGACAAGGTACTAAAAATTAAAGGTTAATTTTTTTTAAGAGTTCAAAAAATAGTTCCATCTTATTTCAATTTTTGACATTCATTTAGCTTACCAATGTGGTATCTTTCATCGACAAATACTACCAAATAATGACACTATAGTGGGCCACGATGCACCATTAAATTCCCTACATCACTCGAGAGTTATCCATATAACGACTTTTCGAAATGACGGCTTATATGGGAAGTGGGTGAAAAAGTGGTCTAATCGGAAACATTTTCAATAGCGCTAATCGTTGGTCCAAAAACACGTCGGTGTATCAGACTTCGTCAACATATCAAAAAAGATGCAGCCATTAGGTCGGACACAAGAAAACAAGACGGACAGATAAGCTTAAATCATTTCACAGGGTGATTCTGAAACGATCGATAGTACAAAAGGCGAGTTTGTTGTAATATAAAAACAGAATCCTAACGCGAGGTGCGAAATAGTAAATGCCTCTATATTATTCAAATTTGCTTTAGTTGATTTTTATGTCAAGCTCTATTATTATGAATCAATTCTCAGTGTAAAATATTAACGGAAGTGTAACTGAGGGATTCTTTTGGGTAACCATAGACGTACCGAAACTTTAACCTTTTCGTGGTGCTCCCTTTAAATATTGACTGTTACTCTTATGGCTCTCACTTTCGAGAGTTTCAAAGTTCAACGGCAAAGAAGGATTTAAGGTTTGCCATAGCATGTCGACGGGTTGTTCTCTTGGACGCCTAAGTCTGATGTATCGGAAGAGGGATCTCTTTGCTAATGAACAGAGAGACGGTAAGGAGTAGTAGGGTCCTCCTCACTGGGGATTGTCCTATTCCCTGGGGCCGTCGGTTATCGCTTGTCAAGGTAACTCATATGCCATCGGTTGCCGAGGGGTAGGACTCCTAAGCTATGCAAGGAATCCGTAAAATTAGGTCATTTCCCCTTATATATATGATTATCTCTCGTGGGAACGTTTATGTAAGGGGGCTTCAAAATATCGGATCAATCTGTTCAAAGTTTTCCCAACGACTTCGTATGTCGAAATCCGATCATTTAGCGATTGTTGTCGAGAAATTTTGAATATTAAAATTTATTCCAAAT